CGTGTGCTAAGATTGAATAAAAACTTAAATTCCTAATTCAATCGAGTTAATTTAGAGAATTTCAATTTTTAGTATTTTCAGTTTTTATTAGGTTTTCATAATGCGAATGGGCTTGCTTTCAAACATTTTTTGTCCACTTTGCTAATGAAATGAGATGAAAAATGTTTAGAAACTATATTGGAAAGTGCGATTGATGTAAAATTATGTTTTAATAGTTATTTTTTAAAAAAAAAAATGTAGTGGTTTTTTTTTTTAATTTAAATATTCGGTATAGAAAGACGTGACTGGAGAAAGGAGATAAATATAAATGAATGAGTTATTGTTTCAATAGATTTTTCTAAGCTTGTTATACTTGTTTAGAGTTCATTTTCAATATTATATGATGATTCATTTTTAGTTGTTTTTCTACTTGAGTGTTTAATTTCTTATTTTGTTGTGGTTCTTTTAACTTAAGTTGTGAATTTGGGTTGGTCCAGTGTGGTCAACTTCGAAATAAATCTTACTGTATTCTCGTGTAAAAATATTACCTGTCTGGATAAGTCTATAATTGTTTATAAAGTCTAAGTCCCACACATATATATTCCCAATGTAATATGATATATATCATCATACAAATAGTTGGTATTGTTATTAATTAGTCATATACATATAAAATTTTCAACCTACAAAAAAAAGTCGTCGGTTATTGGGTGTCATTTTCTTGTAGGATTTAATTTCCAACTCATATAATTCAGAGACTTTTACGTGTTCCATCACAATTATATTGGTCATGTATTTTGATTTTATCTCTAGACATGTTTTAAGAGACTCGTGAACTAAATGAACTAAAGCTTCAGATGTCTTTAACAGTAATAAGTCGACCCAAGTCTTAACTAGAAGAGTTGAGGTAAAATAAATATTATGTACAAAACTTTTTATCTTTAGTTTTAATGTGACTGAGTTCTGTCTCGACACGTGCTTGATTATTAATTTATCAAATTTTTATTGGTCTTTTTTATTAATCATGGTTAATTGTGAAAAAAATTGCTATAATTAGTTGTTAGTGAGATTTTAAAAATATATTAAAATAATAATTAAAATAAAATAATATTAAAATTGATTTAATTAAATATAGGAGATAAATAGTTGAAATTGATTGATAGTTAAAATTATGTGAGCAGATAAATAGTGAATTAAAATTGATGTGATGTATAAAATAATATTGATTGATATTATTTAATTATATTGATAATATTGAGGATAATAGGTTTGAGTTAAATTTTTTGTATGGTTAAGTGTGAGTATCAATATTTTTATAAATAAACACACTCTTAACTAAATGAGTTTTAGCTCACAAGTAATTGGTTTTTTGTTTACCTCTCTAGATGGTCAACTATCATTTTTTCTTTTAATTTAGCTTAAAAATAAAAATTATATGTATATACATATGTAATAATTATTTATAACGACATATAATATTATTAACATTTGTCTATGAAATTTTAAAACAAATTAAGTTTTTTAACTAATTTATATATCTCTATAAGAAAAAAAAAAAGTAATATTATTATGTTANATAAAACTCCACATTTTGAGTGGCGTGTGATGGTAATATACTATTATTGTGTTTCCCTACAAAACTCAGCACATGAATTACGTAAATGCGTGTTTATCTGTGATGCAACCCACGTCCTCTTTACCTGCTCCCCAAAACCCGCCTCATTTAAGGTATCTACATCTTTGTTTTCATTATCATCAATAGACTCCAATTATATTATTATTGTTAATTAATATTCTCTTAAATATAACTTATTTTTAATTATTTCATCCTAAATAAGGCCACCTCATATGGTGTGACAATCAAATGCAACATGTAAAAATATGATGCAGTCTAATAATCGACATATTAATGTGTCTACTTGTTACGTATTAAGATATTATTATCTTTTATCAATTAATTGGTTGATCTGTAATATTTTAAATTTGTTGTTTCATCATCTAGTTGACTCATTAAATTGTGTCCTGAATATTAGAGCGGAACTAACCTATAGTATATTTGGTAATCACAATAAATTAACTTAAAGCTTATTTAGGCTATGTTTGGTAGGCTAATAAGCTAGCTTATAGCTTATTTGATTAGTTTATAAGGTTTCTGTATTTAAATAAGCTCCGTTTGGTAAGACGAGCTTATTTAAAAAGCTCGAGCTTATTTAATTAGCTTCTTTTGGTAGCTTTTCAAATAAGCTCGTTGAAATTTTTATTTCAGTTAGCTTATCAGCTAATTTTACAAAACACTTTTATTATAGAAGCTAGTTTTTCAGCTATAAGTCATAAGCTATAAGCAATAAGCTCAAAAATTACTAATAAGTTATAAGCTAGCTTATCAGCTATCAGCTATTTTTACTAAACATAGCCTTAGTTAATTTAGAAGCTTCTTGTATTATATAAGTTTGCTTTGAGTATCAGATTTTTTTAACTAAAGTTTATCTCATAAGTTTTTTTACGCAACACTTAAATTTATTTCAGTCGACTCATCAGCTAATTTTACTAACTTTTTTATTATATCAGCTATCTTTTCAATCCAAAGCTACCAGGTGTAAGCTCAAAATTCATTTATAACTCATTAACTAGCTTTTTTAGCTAGATTTATCTAAAATGGTCAAGGTAGCTTAATAGTTTATTTAATTAGCTTCTAAATTTTTTGTATTCAAATAAGTTTTGTTTAAGAGAATTTATTTCTTTTAAAAAGTCCGAGTTTATCTCATAAGTTTATTTATGTAGCTTTTGATAAAAGTTCGTTAAAAATTTTAGTTCAACTCACTTAATTCATCACACTTTTATAACAACTAGCTAAATTTTAACACATATACATATTAAGAATTTGTAAAGAGAAACCACAAACATCAACCACATGAACGTGAGATGAGACCAGATTTCTATTAGTGAATGAATATATTTATAATAAAAATAACAACCTAACTGACAGTTCTATACTGTCATAGAACACGTATAGTCGTATCACAAAAAATATATTTGCATTGAAGAAACAGAAGCTCCGATACTGTGCAACGAGTATTACGCCTTCTCTTCTAGGATAAGACGACTCATAGTGTGAAGACTGCACTATCTAACACACTCACCTCGATGAAAATCTCAGTCGCCAAGAATTCTTAATTTTTCTAAGTCTTTGTAGGATGAAAGATAATATAGGTATATGTTTCTTTTCTTTTCCTTCATTTGGTATGTCTTTCCTGTGAGCTTGCATACACTATTTATAGTGCTTATAAGACTAGCTTTCATTCAATGAAGTGGAGATACATTAATTTTCCCTTCATTTTTGATCAATTAAATAAGTCAAACGTAAAAATTATTAACCAAACTTTTTGGAACCATCCATCAAATGAAGTTCGGTTAGAACATTATAAAATTAATTTTATCCATTACTTACAACATTTAACACGCCATCTAAGGATTCTCACACAAATACAATTTCTCTTTTGAGATTGGTTCTCCATCAAGCCCCAACATCTATCAATTTTAGATAACCACAATTTCTCAGTTCAACATATAAGCTTGGTGGTCTACTCCTTCTATTGCCAATTGATTTTAGAATGAAATTTCATTTGGGTTTGTATGTTGGTGCTTGATGGAGAACTGGGTTTGATGGAGAACTGAACTTGAGTTGTTGGTATTGACAATATAATCATATCATAAAATGTCATGCTTTTTTTAATAATTTTAAGTGTAGATACTATATATAATATATACTAGTACAATACCCATGTATTACACGGGTGAATTAGAAACTTTTGTAAAAAATATTTTATTTTTTAAAAAACTAAAATAATTTAATTTTATATAAAATATTACTTTGAGTTTTAATTAAATTTTCAAATTATTTTTTTAATAATAATAATTAAGCACCCGTACATTAAATGAAAATGTCAACCCATGTTGAATTTTTTTACTTATATCATATAAAAATATCGATATTATTTACTATTACATAAGTACAAAAATATATACCTTAAATAAATAGAAATAATATGGTGATGTATATATATATATGCATAAGTGTAGAATATGTTTATTTAATATTAAACAAAATAGATTAAATTTTTTACTTAATTAGATGTCTAATAATCCCTTTGTACTCAAATTAAGGGTGGGTATTCATTTGAGATTTGGAATAACATTCTAATGACTTTATAAGGTTTTAGACTTTTTAGAGTTGTTATATTTAAAAGGTGGGATTTGGAGTGTAATTTTGGCATATGGTTTTTTCGTTTGAAATCTCAACAAATCTTAAAAAAATCTTAACACTTTATATGTAATTTTAAAATTTAGATAAATAATTATTTATTTTTATTAGATTGACAACATACCAATTAGATTTGAAATAAATATTATATATAAAAGAATACATACCAATTTCTATTACTTTATAATATAATTTATAGTTTTATTTGATATAATTTAATTTAGTTTAATAAATAAATTTAAATTTTATTTATAAGGATATATATTACTGTTTTGTATTTTATATATATGGATGTCAAATCAAGAACTGTTAAAAGATAGTTGATTTGATATATCATATATGATATAAAATAATTTATGATAATTAATTATAGAAGTAAAGAAGGAAAAAATAAATCATGAATTTAATGTGATAAAAAATATTAATTTATATCCAAACCTAACTCCAAAGCATAATTTTTTGCCAAATAAAATTATGGAGCATGAGAATTTGCCATATAATTTCAACGCAATGAAATTATATATAAAAAAGGGAATTTGTGAGAACAAAAATATGGCATGACAACAATAATTATAATTATGTCTACAGTATGAGAAAATAAGACACGTACTCCAAGAATCCTCATGACGTCACCTCACCCAACTCACCACTTATATATATATTAGCCCCACACAACCTAATTATTAACTCAACACATCAAAACATCACAAAAAAAATCGTCCACACCACACTACACTTCTTTTCCCTTTTCAACATATATATGCAGGGTCTCCGCTGTTACTTTCCGGCGTCGGACGGCGGCGTCCGCCTCGAGCTCGGCCCAGCCGCCGCTTCACAGCTGTCGATCGACGTCCCGGAGCCCGCCGATGCCCGTATCCGTCGTCTGATTTCCGAGAACCCGGTGATCGTCTTCTCCCGGGCCGGCTGCTGCATGTGCCACGTCATGCGGCGGCTGCTGGCCGCCGTCGGCGCCCACCCCACCGTCATCGAGCTGGGGGAGGACGAGATCGCCGCCGTGTGCGGCGGGGAATTCGCCCCGCCGGCGCTGTACGTCGGCGGCGCGTGCGTGGGTGGGCTGGAGAGCATGGTGGCGCTGCACCTGAGCAACGGCCTCGTGCCGAAGCTTCTCCAAGCCGGCGCTCTCAAAAAGGAAAATATTAAGTGATTAATTAACTTTTTGATTTTTAGTTGATGAGCTTTTTATAGATTGTAATAAATTAATTATGGGTGTATGTGAGTTTCTATTTTATTTTTTTTGGTCGAATTATTTAGTGTCTTTTTTTTTCCGACTTGTGGCATTGATTAGGAGAAAATTATGTCGAATTAAAAAGTTAATTTTATAAGAATTTATTTGCTGCGCAGTACATGGACTGACAAGATTGCAAATTTTCTATATGATTATTTTTATATATTAAATCAAGGTGCATTTAGGGTGTAAACAAGCAAATTGAGTTTTATTATTCCAATTATGAAAAAAGAAAATTTTGTGTGATTTGATTAGACTTGGAAATGAGTTGAGCAAACTTCTGAGTTAATTTATAATACTCCAGTTCGAGTTTATATATATCAAGCTAAGACGCGTTCAATTCAGCTCAAGTTTATATCAAGTCAAGATATCAAGTCAAGACGAGCTTGACTCGGCTCCTTTATCTATATAGTCATATTCGAGTCTTAATGGATTGATTTGAAATTAACATAAATAAATTTTGAGTCCTCGTTCACTAAGTGAACTTTATATGCTTTGGAGTTCTACTCTATTCATCTCACGAGCGGCTTTTAAGAAAATCTAGATTTCAAGAATATCCAAAAACATTGTGGAAAAATATTGTTATTAATAAACCTTGAACATATTTTATATAAATTTTTTCAAATACAATTTGTGCAAGTTTGTACTTTTTTTTCTTTATCTATTTTAAATACTTTTCTTGTGAAAGTTTTTAAATATATTGTCTTAAATATGGTTGGCGGCCATTAAATATAGTAGCAATCCAATTGAGTAGCATGCCTTAAATATGGCTCATCAATTGGAGTATTATTTATCATATTAATATATATATTTTTTTAATTTATATTATGAGTGGAAGGAAAATAGTAAAAAAAACAAATACTATTAAGCAAGCAAGAATCCAAAAGAAAAATTGTTGGAAAGAAAAAGATGGAGAAGAAAGAAAAAAAAAAGACCAGCATTCAATAATTGCTGGAATTATAAGATTCCACCACCTGTTACACTTTATTTAAAAGAATTAAAACAAAAGGAAATTTATTAAAGTTACCACAAGATGACATCACTTTCTGCACATCTACGTGTCTAATCAGAATAACATTTTTTCCCCCTTAAATTTTATGTTAAAAAATCTAATAAATCATTTGCTGATAAAACTAATTATTATTTGTTTTATTCATGAAAGTGACAAAATTATTAATCTGATGTGCATATTATAAGGACCTTCCACTAGGGTATATGCAATTCATTTAATTGCATGTCATTAAAGAAAAGACTGAAAATCTGAAAGCTATGAGCTATAATATAAAGTCCAATGCCAAACCCAATCTGAAAGATTTCTTCCAAATTAAGTAAGAAAAATAAGGTAGGGTGTTAAGGAATAAATAAATCTATAAGGTAGGGTACTGTTATAAAAATTTAAACTTTATGATGTTGTGATGCACGTTTTAAAGAAGAAAGAAAATTATCGAAATTGTGTAGTAGAAATAACTTCATGCAGGCTGCAAATACAAAAATCTCATAGCTTAATAAATCACAAATGACCTAATGGTTAGATGTGACACAATTTTTGTACTATAATGTATATTTATATTGTTGAATGTCCACTTTTATTTTTGTTGGTTATTAAAGTTTAGTACGAACAAATATATATATTGAAAAACACAACGCCATGAAGGTTTTGTTTGAATAACAACAACATTACTCTAATTAACATAATTATCTAGCAATTGTATGCCGACATATTTTTATTTTTATTTTTTTTATAGATATGTACTTTCATTGGAATATATCATACTTCCAAAAACATAAATCAATATACGACATTTGATAAAATAAATAGCTGGGTTTTGTGCAAAACCCCTAATCATACAAATGACAATCAATTTTTTTTTCTTCTATTGTGTTGTTGTTTAAGGATGAAAAGGTGAGGTAAGCATCCCATATATGCTACACAATCATCAAAACCCATGGCCTTACAAATACAAACCTCCCTTGCAAAAGAAAAAGATAAGAAAGAAAAAAAAAAAAAAATCAAAAGAGAGAAGAAAGAAAAGGAAAGGAAATGCTTTTTATTAGTGATGTTTGGTTTTTGAATGTGAAGTTCCAAAAGCATCTTTAGAAGATTGTTTTATTTATATTTTTTCCTTCTTTATCACGGCTTAAGTCATGTTCATTTTTCGGCTTCTTTATGGGGTTTCCACTTTTTTTCCTCTAAATTTTACTACCTCCTTTTTTTTTTATAAATATTATTTTGACTTTATCAACAATTGTATAAATAAATGATATTTTGGATCTTTTATACATATTTTTCCATTATTATCCTTATCCAGTTAATAAATATACTACTTCTTTTCATATTTATTCTTTATCTTTTCTCAAAATTCAATCTCTATCTTCATTAATAAGAGTTATTATGACAAAAAAAATATTTTTAATTAGTGTACAACTTCTCAAAGCGATCGTCTGTTAAAAAAAGAAAGGAGTACCTAATAATTAGTAATGCTTGCTCACGTAAACCAATTAAGAAATCACTTAAAATTGGACCAAAAGCACAAGTTGATTCAGTTTTTTAGGCACGACAATCTAGAACATGTCAAGATATTTATCTCACATAAACCAACTGAAAAATAATTTTTAAGCTTTGCCCAGTTAGAAATTACAATTTTGCAACATTAATCAGCTGTAGCCTGTAGTTTAGAGAGCACTTCACTAAAAAAAAATAAAAAAAAAAAATGAAGAAAATATGTTGATTTTACACATGGTTTTGAGTATTTCTATAGTCATTATACATGGACCCTCCTAATTTTATTTTATTCTTTAGTTATTAATGGGCACTCCTAATTTTGTAAAATTGTTTTATTGTTTAGTCAAACATGCATCAGAATAATAAATCTTCACACTGCACCACTCTCTTCAGTTGTAATTATTAAAGAAAAATCAGAACTCATAACCACGAGCTATGCTTAAATTTACAACCATTAAATGCAATTTTTATACAGTTAAAAAATTTAACAAACTTACAAACAAAAGAAAAGAAACACACATTTTTATCCACTAAAATCTCCAACAAATTTCTAATCTTTATTCAAATTACCCCAAAGCAAATATCTGTATAATCATTCCCTTATCCCCAAATTCCCAAGAAACACACCATGGTCATTTTTCCACTTTCTAGTGTCTAATTACACCTTCATCTGATCAATTGGCAGCTAATATCAATTTCTTTCTCACAAAAATGTTTGTCATATCACATATGAACATCTACTGATCATCTAAACTAATAAAACCCTCTCTTTTTTCTTTTAACCACAGCTAAAACCTAAAAAGAACTAAAAAAAAAAAAAAAAAGAAGAATAATAATGACCTAACAAAAACTCTACAACCCAGTCCAGTTCATGAGCTTCTTGATCTCATCATACAAAACCAAAACAGCAGCAGCCCCAGTACTCCTAAACACATTCGAGAGGGCCCCACGATAAAACGAGCCCAGCCCTTCCATCCTATATATCTTCCTCCAACAATCGAGCGTGCTCCCGTACATGGGCTTCGCCAGGCCCGATTGCATCATCATCCTCCTCCTCACCGTGTCCAGCGGATACGAGACCAGGCCCGAAGCAGTCGTCACCGCTTGGGCCGCGGCCCACCTCTTCCAGAGCGCCACGTCAGCTTGTGATGATGACATCATCATCATCTCCTTGACGGTGTCGAACCCTCCAAAGTAGAGGCCTCGGTGGATTATCATGCCGTGGAGTGAAGCAGGGAGGCCTCTGTAGATTCCCCGGGCCCCGTCTTTTTTATAGACGGTGGTTAGGAAGTGGCGAATGCCTTGGAATTGGCGGGTTTCGGGTGGACCGAGATCTGCCGCCAGGCGGGTGTGGGCTATGTCGAGCGGGTAGATGATGACGAGGGTCGTGCAGCCAGCGAGGGACCCGGCTAGAAAGTTGGAGGTGAAGTCGCCTTGCTGAGAATTTCCGCGTAGGATGTTTCGGTAGAGGTCCTTTTTTTTTCAAGTATAGGAAAGTGAAAATTAGAAAATGATCATGGTACG